GGGTTGAATTCAGGACTTGCGAACACGGGCTAGGCCTGCACGGGTTGGGGTTTAGGCCACATTACTTGGCGGTTCGTGGGTAGTTATTAGTGGGGTTATAAGTCCCCTAATATAGATTACATATAGCTAAAGTTAGCCTACTTATAACTCCACTTATAACTACTCGCAAACCTCCAAGTACCCACAGCAACATCAATGACATGTCAACGTCACCATTTGCAACACCAACCGGCTATGCACAGTCATAGTAATGACGCAACGAAGCTCGAACAGCCATCATCGGTGTGCATCAATTTGATGCTGGCCGTGCTCATGATACCGCAGGTAGCCGATGCGAAAACAGTTGTTACTTTTCGGAATGGAGAACAGAATGATGGCAACACCACAAGCATCTCTCTCCATCAATATACTGCAGCCGCAGCACCACTACCGCCACCAGTGCAAAGCTCAGCAGCGGCTGCAGGAGGCAACAACAAATGTAGTAATACAGTTCTGGATATAATTGTTGTAGCAGTAGTTTCTGCAGCTGCAGCAGCAGCAGCTACAAGCAGTGGTAGCAATTGCGGTAGTGATCTCAAAGCCATAGTGTTCCTGCGAGCTGATCACCGCCGCTGAAAACAACATGAAAACGTTCTGACCTGGCCTTTCAAGCTACAAGGCCTCGCGATGGCACCTGCGGCCACGAAATCCGTGGCAATACTTTGAGATTTTCCAAGGGGGCCTGAAGCCGAACCGAGCCCAGAGAAACGCAAACAAGGCAGCAACGCAACCAGTATTGTCTACACGCGAACATCCCTTCCGCGCTCAATGCATCGACCTGTACATACTCCGGCAACCCAATACACTTCCAGACCTCCAGCACATAAACCAACTTCAAACCCCTCTGAACCCTGAAACCTGAACCCCAAGATAGGAGCCCCAATACTAAGACGCCCCCAATCGCCCCCAGATCCCTCTGGGAACCAAACTTGCAGCGAAAGCCATGGAAACGAGGATCCACATCATGGCCTTTGAACATCGGAAAACATTGGACTTACAGAAGTACGAGGTTTAGGGTTATTCGGGTTTAGGGTTTAGTGGGGCTTATAGGGTCTTGTACCAGTGGTCGTCACCCTTAGCAAGAGATATTTATCTTCGGCGAGCCACCCTATCCCAAACCTGCACGGGTGGCAGAGGCTACAGTACGGGGGACTTTAAAAATCTTCCCTGCAACGTTATCGGGGCGAATGCCTTGTCTGCTTAGAGCCTTTCTTGTGTTCACGCTGCTTGTCTCTGCGCATCTCTTGCTTGTCCAGAAAGAAAACGCTTGACCGTATCTCAAGACTGACGAGTTCTTCTGCCTAAAGCACTGATGGTATTCTGCTTCGGGCATGTTGTGCATTTCGGACCACCACCGGCTTCCGTCCACTTCAGTCCCGCTGCATGCGACGGGGGCGGGTGGGGTTCCACGGCTCCGACAAAATCGTGCTCACACCGCAGCCACATGAATGTGTGGGAGCCTTACAGATCAGATGGTATTCTTGACAAAGTTAGATGGTAAACTATACCCAAACCAAAACCCTGAGTTTCTAATTACCAAAGCCCCTACATTAGCGAACCAGCGTTCTTGCAGGTCCTGCCAAGTTTTGGAGATGGAGGTAAACTTGCACGCATCATCCGCTCACCATCTTGACAACCTGAACCCTTGAGAAGCGCCCCGCACCCCAAGGCTTGGACTGATCAAAACAAAGCCAACCCTCGATCGCGCAAAGCGATCCCGGAACTGCGGAAGTTGAAGAAACAAGCTTCAGGGCCTGATGTGAGAACAACCGCCGGCGTCGCATCTTTAATCCTTGCGCGCTACCGACAGGGTGAAACAAGCTGCGGCATTGCAGCTAATGGGAGAAGTGCGGTGGTGGCAATGTCGGATCTGGTAGGGGGCTAATTTGTCCTATCCAGCCTCCCCAAACTCACAGAAAACGCGTACATCAAACCATTAAGGCGAAACATCCTTCGACCTTACTAACAAAACTGAAACCCCCGAGGGCACGTTTAAGACAATTGGTTGCAAGAGGTGTTACTAAACCCTAAACCCTAAACCCTAAATAGGTCTCTGGATGGCTACAAGCCCTTACCGCACCTCCTACGTGGCGGTTGCTATCTTTGAACCACCGAGACTTGAGCCAGACCCAAAGTCGAGCAGATCTTGTCTCCTTCTCTCTGTCTCTGTCCCCGGTTTAGGTTTAGGGCTTAGGGTTTGGGTTTAGGGTTTATGGTTTAGGGTTCCGTGCTGGTGCTCGTGCTTGTGTTTGTTGTTGCTGTGTGCCCTCCCTCTCTCTGAACCTCTCTCCCCCTCTTCCTCTCTGCATCTGGATCTCTGCAGTTCGAACCCCACAGTTTTGGGTGGTGTGGGCACTCCCGCTCGGATGCTCGCCCTTAAGCGATTTGTTGATGCTAACAATAACAAGACACCATTGAAACCAAACCCTCCCGACTAGTACTTGGGGCCCGGGACAAGAAGGGCGAGGAAACGGTGAAAGGTGCCGGTGTGAAATGCCGCATACCCATCTCACTGTGTCCCTGTCTCTCTCTCTCTCTCTCTATCTCTGCCTCCTTCTCGCCATGTCGCTCAAACTGTACACATTTTCGTATACAAGGGCACATATGCCAAAACCGAAACAGAGGCGGGCACATGTACATGCATCTACACAGGCAAATATGGCAGCTGCACATGCATGCAAGCGTGGATGCATGCGTACATACGTACGTGTATATATATATATATATATACATATGTGTGTATATATATATATATAGACTTTAGTATTGCCCTTACGGGCATTGCTGGTCATGTCTATTTCGGTCGCATATTAATGCTGCATTCTCGCTTCTGCGATGAAAACCTTCACCCTTTCAGCACACATTGTGTCAGGTTGAAGCTCACATATTATGCTGACATGTGCTTCGTTAGCCTTTCATCCTTGATTCTCACTACTGGTCTTGAATGTGACGAAACACTCCTTGGTTTGCGGGTGCCGGCTATATCCAGGGTATGACTTCTGATGTCGTTCCTGCCGTTAGCAGTACCTTGGTCGTCGTCGTAGTACTGTCGGCAATCTGTCAGTCCTGCTTGCATCGCTTTTGTTGCTGCTGCTGCTGCTGCTAGCAGCTATAGCATCACGTGTATACACACTTTTGGGCAGATGTTTCAGCATCTGCGGTTTCACATTGCTGATGTAAACTTACTAGCAGTTCGTCAGGTATTACTGGGATACAGCACAAGGATATCTGCGCTCACATGCTGGAGGCAGCAAGAGAAAGTATGGCTTCTAACACCAGAACAAACAAGACATGAATTCCTACATCTATCTGTAGGAAGGGGGGTTTACGGTCAGCATCCGTCGCATAGAAAAGTAGCACCAGAAACCAGGATCAGGGCAGGACCCTCTAAACCCTCAGCCATGCCATAGTGCAAAGTAAGCCTCCGCGATCGGAGACGTCTCATGGCACAGCCCAGAAATGAGGCCCCTCGAATCTAAACCCCTCTTACGTCGGAAATGCTTACATCCTAGGACCAGTCGGGAATCGAGTAGACTGAGAATAGACTCAACTAGACTTGACTACATCGGACTAGCCCAGCCAGAAAGAGCCTGTACAGTGCATATGTTCTATACATATACATATATATAACAAAACATAACATAAATGTGTGTATAACATACATACAACTCCAATATTGCCTTTTCTTTCGGCTGCCCTGCGTCTGCAACGACTGCTTGTGGAGCCCTACGGCTTATGCCCGACGAGTTCTCATGCTTGCAGGATCGACGCACGGCCAACTCAATCCGAGCATGCAGCCGGCGTATGCAGGGGCCTGAATAATTAGAATANNCGAATATTATAGCACATATATTATAGCATACTGCTGGCAATTATTCAGGCCCCCATATGAATTAAAAGTAGCATACCAGAACAAAAGGACCTGACTACACGACCAGCAGCTCTCTCGAAAGCAACTTGGACCTGGAATGCCAAACATACGCACGAACTGTAAGACACATTGATGAGGCCGGTATGTCAAGCTGTGGGGTCGGCAGGAAATGAATATCCCTGGATAGGTGTCAAACAAACGGAAGCTCTGAAGCCTACATCCTACCAAAGGTCAGAAAGGCTCGGAACGCCAAACCTGAACCCCTAAACAGACTATTTGCCTCCCCTGCCGTGCTCCCCACTTGATTTAGGGGGCGTAAAGTTTTGAAACAGTTCTGCAATACTGTACTTTTATAGGGACTGTGAGGCGATACTACTGATTGATCAGGCTCCTAATTTGGGCAAAAACATTGGCAGCCAAAACCCACGTCGAAGTGACTCTGCCACAAGGTGTTTCACCAAATCTGCGCGGATCGAAAAACTGCCAAGAAACAAGCAAAGAACCTTTATCTTCAAGTATGTGGTCTGTAAACATGCATGCAAGATCCTGCACATGTTTGCGTACATACGCATGCATGCATGCACAGGTAGACAAATAGGAAAGTTAGTTGATAGATAGATAGATAGATAGATAGATAGATAGATAGATAGACAGATCGACAGGCAGACAGATAGAAAGAAAGAACCACAGCTAGATAGATATTCCGCAAGTTAGGTAGAGCGCTAGTTATTTAGTTAGTGAGTTAGTTAGATAGATAGTTAGTTATAGATAAACAGATAGGCTAGCGAGCTAGCTTGCACAAGATAGATGAGGTTAGATTAAGTTTAGATTCGTGCATGTCAGACAGACAGACAGACAAACAGATAGGTACGTACTCATGCAGGTGCTCGAATCTATCTCTTCGCATACATGCATAATTACACATGTGCGTGTGCGTTGGGTGGGTTTTTGGCGTATCTCGTCATTTACTCAGTCCTCATGCCTTATAGCACTGTTATAGCGTGTTAGATGGGGAGCTTGCTGTCAAATTCCTCCGAGAATCCCCGTTTGCGGGTATTCCGCTGCGGAAAACCGACTAGCGCCGAGGGAATCAAACGCGGATGATCTGCACCTCCGGCAGGGTGCGTTTAGAAGGATCAGGGCACTTACGAACCAGCGCTGCAAGAAGGGCAACTACGATCTACGACCAAGACTGTTTCCGACCGCAAACATGGCCGGACTATCTTTTCATCTAATGTGTAGTTTCTGCTTTAGGCAAAGAAGCCGCGAAGGGTTAGGATATGCTAGGATCCTTTAATTGCAAGTGGTGGCTTCAGCGCTCTGCGGCTTTGCGGTTCGAGGTCTTTGACTTGGGGTTCAGGGCATAAGGCTTATAGGGCTCATAGGGTTTGCTCCACCCAAATCCTACCTTCTTAAAGACATATATATCTATATATGTATGTATGTATATATATATATGTACATATGTAGAGAGAGAGAGAGACTATTTACAAGGAACCCTGACAAGGAAGGTTCTGGTGTGGAGCTCAGGGCCCTCAAGATGCGGAGCCGAAGAAACCTGGTGCCTCGGGCATCTTCTCTGGCACGATGAAGGTGTCCTTTCCAGGCTTCGGAACTTCAGCTGAGTTCGCGTCGTAGGTCTGCGTCTAGAGGTTTCGGGTTTGGGGTTTAAGGCTTCCTTCAATAAATGTTCCCACCAGTGATCCTGAAACGGTTCCATGACTGTCTACTAGGTTTCTTAAAGCTCGGAGTTTGGGGTTGGCAGACTTGGGTTGAGGGTTTAGGGTCTTGGGTTTAGGGTTTCCGGCTTTAGGTTTCGGGATGATATAGAGTTTAGGGTCTAGGACACGGGGGAGCTCTTCGCTTTGGGTATACTTTTCGGGCTTCTCAAGGATCCTTCTCAAGGATCTGTGTAGAATCCCTGAACCCAAACTCTGGATAACCCTTGAAGCGAAATGTTAGAAGAGGGGCAAGGAGCCTTAAAATGCTGGGTATGTCTTTGTCTTGAAGAAAGTGGCTTGATTGCTCTAAGATGGGCTTTGGGGTTTAGGAAGCTTCCGGTTCAGATGGGTTCGGGATTCGGCTAGGATAGGGGCTCAAGTGGTATCAGGTTCGGACTTTAGGGTTTAGGGTTAAGGGTTTAGGGTTCAGACTTTAGGGTTGAGGGCTGAGGGTCCGGTTGGTCAACTAGGGCTCGTGGGTTTCGGGTCAGAGCACAAAAGGTGGCTGTGGGCCTTGCTATAGGGGGCCTAAGAAATTACCAATACTATACTATTGTGGGGGCTCCTTAGTATAATGATCGTATAATATACCCAAAACCCTACTCTAATTATTGAGGCCCCTATACCCCAAACCCGTATGGAACCCTTTAAAGGAACCCCTACTCTAATGATTGAGGCCTCTATATTATTGCGGTCCTTTAAAGGAGGCTGCAAGGGCTTCCGGGATCTGGGGTCTTCGTATCTTACAAGGGGTCTATAGAGCCTTCCAGGGATGTAGGGTGTGGGGTTTTAGGGTTTAGGGTTTAGTGTTTAGGGTTTAGTGTTTGGGGTTTAGGGTTTAGGGTTTAGGGTTTTAGGGTTCAGGATTTGGGGTGTTAAGACTTCATGCCGAGGAAACGAGTGTTGACTTTAAGTTACCTGCAGAAAGATGCATGGCAAAGTAGCAACAATGCTTGGAACAGCATGTCTCAAATACCTAAGAAGAACCACGAGAACTTGGGCTTAGGATGCGGTGCTTGCGGTTGAAGCTTGAGGGCTTTAGTGGTGCTCCAGGGAAGCTGTTGTCTTGAACCCAACTCGCTTTCATGGCTTTGCTACCCCAGGCGGCGCTAGCAGGTTTAATCTGAAATATTTAGGGTTGGTCCGCTGAGAAGTGAAACCCGTGCGAGTTCAAGACCACCAGAGCAACAAAGCACGTAAGGTGTGCAACCTGCTAATTCGGAGCGGGTCTTCGTCTCACCGAAATCCAAGGATCACTCAACTACACTAGTTAATGGATTTCGACGACTACGATGAAAGACCACACTGGGACGGTTCAGGTGCACTAAGGCCATAGAGCATTCTAGAGGGTCGGGGTGACGACGCTGACGCTGGGAAATGTGTGGTCTTTGAGGATCATCACGACCCCACTGTGAAACATTTGACTTACTTGCCTAAGTCAAGCCTGGTTTAGGAGTTAGGGTTTTGGATTTTCGGATCTCTAACAAAATCTATGAGCATAATCTCTGGAGAACACGACGTGGCTCAGTCTTCATGCCACTCACCGACCCCTCTTGATGCAACTCTCATGCAATCAAGTCGCGTGCACACGTGGGATCTGTCCCGGCTCCGCTTCGAATCGGAACTTTGCAATGAACCTAGGAGAATCTCTGTGCTCTCAGCAGAGGGTCTGACGTTTGGTTGCAAAGATTGCCCTCTCATCGTGCATATCACACGGGGTCTAGGTGCGTTCTCGGTCCTAGAGCACACCGTCATCTTTAAACACGTCGCCATCATATTCATATGCACAAGGCGATGATCAGCCAGATCAACCATGTCAAGCTGTCGCTCATTCCACAGCCGCCCCGATCTTGGTGACAGGTCACCCCATCCTAAAGAACGCTTCGGTAGAAGCAAACCTGATTTGTTGTGACACAATGGTCATCATCATTATCATCATTCTAAGCCACAACTGACATGACTCGTGGTGAGTGTGGCGATAAACAGTCCTCATCCACCGGAAGATAGGGTTGTGGCATGGCGACAAGATATTGAGCTACAGGGAGAAGTAAGTTTACATGCGGCAGAAAAATTGAGATGCGGCTTGCATCGACTTCCTTTGCCTGCAAAGCATCCGTTTACCGCCGCTGTTGTTTCTGCCACTCAGCTCATGGGCAGCTGACAGCTTGTTCTTGAGGTTCAGGTTTTGGGGGGTGTAGGGTTTAGGGTTTAGGGGTATACGGCTTAAGGCTCATGGGGTTTTAGCCGTCAACAACAAGCAAGGAAACAAGGCAAGAATTAAAAAGCAGGCTGACCATGGCAATGCTTCTGCAAAGTTCAGCGAAAAGCACTTGCGCTGCCAACATGTCCCAGTCGAAGCCCTCAACCCTAAATCAGCCTAAATCCTAAAGCCAGCTTCTTTAGAGCCGGAAATTGTAGGTTGGCCCTTTTAAGTTAAAGCCTTCGAAGAATATTCGAGCAGAAGAACTTGCTAGGCACAGTATAAGAAAATGTAAAATGACGCGTACTTTATATTGCCGCACTTTAGTTAAGGTTTTGTTTGCTTTGGCTTGCTTTTGGGGATTTAGAGTTGGAAGAGGCGGCTGAATCTTCTGCGGCTCTACTGTCACGTGCTGCATCAGTTCTTACGTTCTGAATAACCGAACCTTCAAGTAATATTTCCGCCATGTTTCTGGGAGATGAGGATCATCATCTCCATTTCAGCAAGCCGTGCACCAAGGCACATGCGGGCTCCGAAGGAGAAGGGCTTCTCGATCCTTGTTTAGACAGGGATGCAGCGATGCATAAACTCAGCAGCTTGATGACAATTTTGTGCGTGTGTGTGTGTGTGCACGTAAGTATGGCTACATGCAAATATGTGACATGTACATGTATGTATAGATGCATACACGTAGGCTTGCCGCATGTATGCGACTATGCATGTATGCAATGCCACCCGACAAAACACGATGCGGCGCAATGCGATGGGATGGGATAGGACGTGATGCAATGCAATGCGGGGAAGTGCCATGTTGTGCTATGTCCTGAGTCCACGAAACCCTGAAAGTTAAGTTCAAGAGACATTTGCAAAACTAACCTAGAGGCCCCCCTCCTTCAGAATCCTACGGAACCCTTGAATCCTGAACCCAAAGCTCCATGATGGAAAAAAACCTTCAAAAGCCTATAACATCATAAGCCACTGAACTTACAGAACCTTTATAGCCCGCTAATAGGCACCCATGATATCCTGGAAGGAAACAAAAAAGCCTTAGGGTCAGATATGCTTGGTTCAGCTTTTTTTGAGGTTAGAGGTTGAGGGTTCAGGGGTTGAGGGCTCAATGGTCTACTCTAGGGGGTAAGGGTTTACCTTAAACTACAAAACCCTACTGTTTGTAGGGGTTCCTATAATAAACCCTAATATGGAATTTATAGGACCCTACAAAAAAGTACGTAGGTTTTGGTAGGCTAAGGTAGGCGTTTAGGGTCCTGGGTCCCAGCGGCAACTTGTGGTCGAGCAGGGATTTGAGCGGGTCGCTCTTGCGTGCTTGCACGGCCTGGCGAGAGATCAGAACAAGGTTTAGGGTTTAGGGCTTAGGGTTTAGGGTTTAGGGGTTTTGAAATAAGTTGAAAAAGGGCCTATAAAGGTGGTTTCCAGTAGCCTTCATAAGAATTTTTCAGGGCTGTAACATCGTGTTACAAGTGCTTCTGGAGGGTTGTAAAGCGGCTTAGTAGGTTAGACTGGGCTTCGGGTTTAAGTTGAGGTTCCGGTGTAGGGTTCAGGCAGCAGCTTTTCCTCGCTGCTAGGACGAACCTACGATGCAGGATACTTGGCCTAGCACAGGTCAGAGCACCGCGAATTGGTTAGATAAAAACTCTGAGTTTCGGATAAAATCAAATTTACGGAAAAAGGATAGGGTTTAGGGTTTAGGGTTTAGGGTTTAGGGTAAGGGCTTAGCCAAGGTTTTGCTTTGGGGTTGAAGATTGAGGGACGGTTCAGAATTGAGGCAGACTTAGAGTTTAGGGTCTACGCAGAGTTTCTGGTCTATGCGTTCAGGTCTATCCGGGCCCGACATGGTTTCGGGTTTAGGGCTGGGAGACGAGGTTTAGGACCTAGGGACTAGGGTGGTGAAAGCTGGAAAATCTAGAAACGGCTTCAGATATGGGTAGTTGTCAAAATTATGGTCTCTTTTGGGGTACCCTAAATAATAGGTGCCGTATTATAATAAGGACCCAAAAGGGGACCATAATTTTGGCAACCACCCATATAGTGCTAAATGATAGGGTATAGAAGGGGTTTCGAGTTGAGGGCTGGGTGTTAGGCTGGCTTAAGGTATACCATAATAAGGAGACTACCAGGGTATTGTGATAAGGGTACTATAATACTCCTTATAAGGTATACCATCATAAGGATACTATCGGGGTATTATGATATGGGCACTATAAGTGGGCTTGAGGCTTGTTGGTCCATCTTCTGAGTTCAGCAAGGGCTTCGGGCTCAGAGCGGATGTACGGGCGCAGGGTATAGTCTTAGGGGTTAGACAGTGGCCGGGCTTAGAGTTGAGGGAATTGCTTCTGCCTGACTGACTGGGTTTGCTGTAGGGGGTTAACGGTTTATGATTTAAGGTTCGAGTTTAAAAGACCAAAGATATTAGTGATATTGGTGTTATAGGTGTGAGCAAGAAGCACATGGCGCTAGCCAGAAGTGTCTGCTTCTGTCTAGGCGCGCTCACTTCCTCGAATGCCAATTCAGAAGCACGCGCAGCCCTCTCATGCTTGAGCACCAGAATGATGGGCTGAGCTGCAACTTCGAAGGGAGGTCGCCAAGACCCAAAACCCTCAACCCCAGATGCACTGCATACCTAGTACCTGATCATGTCATCAGTTTACACGACATCTGGACTGAAGGTACTCCTCTGGCAAATAGGACTCCGGAGGGGCTAAATGAAGTCTTATTGCTTATGGTTTAGGGTTTAGGGGTTCAGGGTTTAAGAGTTTAGGGCGTAGGGTTTAGGGTTTGGGGGTTTAGGGTGTAGGGCTTAGGCTTTACATCATGATGAACATAAGGTTTTGCGGTACATTATTACAGTTACAAGGAGGAACCTTAAGTGTCTAATTAAAGCTTACTCTTGCCGAAACTTTCACACACAAAAACTACAGAGGCCCTCTCACACCCACGCCACAAACGCCCCAACACTGAGGCGCGAAACAAAACCCAACCCAAGCCCCAAACGCCAACAGCCTGCAGACCAAATTCAAATCCGAATCACAAAACCGCCAACGCACTTAAGCCCAAAACGCGAAAGCCGTACAAGACAAAACCGCCAAAACCCCTCAAGCCCTAAACACAGAAGCCCTACAACACAAAACCGCTAAAACCTTTAAGCCCTCAACTTCTAGAAGCCCTACACTACAAAACTGCCAAAGCCTAGCGTCGCTAGCGTCGCGGACGCGTGCGATCTCGGGACCACGCGCTTGCGCGCGCTTTATAGTGAAAGGGTCCCTTAAGCCATACACACAAAAGCCTAAACACCCTAAAACCCGAAAGCCCCAAAGCCGGAAAACCCAAAACCCTAAACCCTAAACCCTAAACCCTAAACCCTAAAACCCTAAACCCTAAACCCTAAACCCTAAACCCCTAAGCACAAAGCCTCGGCCATAAAGCGCTCAGGCCGGAAGGCCTTCTTAGGGGCTGAGGGCCCTAGCCCAAAAACAGGTACGGTTTAGGGTTTAGGGTTTAGGGTTTTAGGGCTTTAGGGTTTTAGGGTTTTTTTTTCCCACCCGCTTCGAGGGTTTAGGGTTTAGGGTTTACTTTCTATTTCTGGTACCAGTAGGGGTTTAAGGTTTGGGGTTTCGGTTAACCTTTCTAATTCTGGTAGGGTTATATAAAACCCCCAGAAGTTTAAAGGTTACCTGCCACGCCCCTAAGCTTTCGTTTCACGGCAAAGGTGGGCCAATGGGTTTGGGGCCTTGGGCTTTAGGGTGTTAAGGAAGCCCTAACGTAGGGGCCGACATGCTTACCTATACTATTGTGGTGGCTCCTTGTTACAAGTATAGTATAGTGCGCCGCAAAACCCTATTCCAATTATGAAAGCCCCTATATTAAACCCCAAACCCTAAACCCTATAAAAACCCTAAACCCTAAACCCTATAATACCCCAAAACCCATTTAATAGGGCTTTAAAGGTTTTAGGGGTTTGGGCTTTTTAGGGGTTTACGGCTTGGGGTGGGGCTTCACGGTTCAGTCTTGGGGTGTTGAGGGGTTTAGGGCCCTCCGGGCTTGAGGGCTTCGTAGATTTGTGGGGTTTAGGGTTTAGGATTTAGGGCTTTTAAGGTCTAGGGCTTTAGGGCTTTAAGGGTTTAGGGCTTTAGGGTTAGGTTTTTAGGGCTTTAAAGCCTTCTGGGATTGAAGGTTTCGGGGCTTTAGCGCATTGTGGCTTTAGGGCTTTAGGGTTTCTGGATTTTAGGTGCTTTAAGGCTTTAGGGCTTAAGGGTTATGATTTTAGGGTTTGTAACGCTTGAGAGTTTTATTCAGGTTTTAAGGCTTCAGGGCTTTAGGGTTGGTACAGTAAGTGTGTTGAGGCTTTAGGGTGTAGGGCTTTAAGGTTTTGGGCTTCAGCGTTGTTAGGGTTTAGGGCTTTAGGGTTTTGGGGTTTGGGATTTTAGGGCTTTACGGTTTTAGGGTTTAGGATTTTACGGTTAGGGTTTCGGGTTCGGGGCTTGCGGCTTGTGGTACAGGTTTAAATTCAAAATTGGGGATCTTCTTTCACCACTCGCAGAAATTACGGTTTAGGCTCTAGGGCTGAGGCGTAGTGTCTAGGGCCACAGTTTTAGGAATTATAAATGAAGGAGGTTTGCTGCTTACGCATGTAGGTTTGGCTGGCGCTGTCGAATTTCGGGACACTAGAAAAACTCCAAACCTCAAACCCCTGCACCCTAAATTCCCAATCCCTGAAACCTGCACCGGAGACATTGGTGCCAGAAAGCATGGAAACCAAAGATCTTACTGTCAAGGGCATGGCGTTCCAAGTCCAGTGCAGGCCTAGTTCAACCCGAAACCCTAATCTATAAACCGGTTCAGCCTTGAGGCTTCCAAGAATAGTACACACCTGCAGGGCGGACGTATTCCAAGCCTTAAGCCCATCTGCAGCCAAGGCCACCCAGGGATCGTCGACAATCCTCGGATCTCGTTGAAGCATGGCGCTGCCCATGTCAATCCGGGTGCCTTCAGGCTTTGGGTTTAAGGTTTGATCGATCTCCCGAGTGTCCAAGACTGTTGAATGAGGGCTTTTTTCTGACAGGGGTTTTCCATTGCCGCGACGAACTGCGCTGGCAAATCGATGTACATCACCACATGAAACTCATACCACCGAACCTTTGTCGCTGTAGTTCTTGCTGATGGTACATTGAAGCACAACAAGAAGTAGTAGCAAGCAGCAGTAGCAGTAGTGGTAGCAGTAGCAGTGGCAGTGGCAGTGGCAGTCGCAGTGGCAGTGGCAGCAGTAGAAGTAGCAGCAGTAGCAGCAGTAGCAATAGCAATAGCAGTGCCAGTAGTAGTAGTGGTAGAGTAGTAGTAGTAGTCGTCGTCGTCGTCGTCGTCGTAGTCGTAGTCGTCGTCGTCGTAGTAGTAGAAGTAGTAGCAGTAGTAGTAGTAGTAGTAGTAGCAGTAGTAGCAGTAGTAGCAGTAGTAGCAGTAGTAGCAGTAGTAGTACAAGTAGTAGTAGTAGTAGTAGTAGTAGTAGTAGTAGTAGTAGTGCCACTCCTACTACTCCTACTCCTCCTCCTCTTCGAAGTACGCATCCCCAACTCTAGAATTGCTTCGGGTTGTCCGACTACGGCAAAAGGTTCAGCCTTTGTGGTAGGTGAGTGCAGGAGTTTCGAGTTGTCGTGTTTCGGCTGGAGGGTTAGCTAAGGCAAGGTGCATGGTGCGAAGAAAGCATACGAATATTGGCATTTCACGCACGGCACCTGCGGGAACGCTGTAACCGCAGAGATCCAGGTCGCTGTCTATGTAGCCTTGGCTGATTGGGACCACAAGATTTCCGAGGCGATAGTGCCGACACTAGGTACGTAAATACGTAGTGCTGCGGACCTCTGGCACTGCATGGGTAGCTGATTCGAAGCTCCTGTTTATTGAAGAAGCACCGCATCTTCGCAGGCCCTCCTTTGGCGTAACTAAGCGTCGTTCCAATAGTCAGCAGTACTCAGCAATACCTTCGGGCTCAGGGTTTTGGAAAAAAGGGCTTGAAGCGCTAACCAACGGGGGGCTTTGAAGATGTCGTGGGGTCTTATTCCGTGATGATCCCACCCAGACCGGCCTACCGTAGGCCTACGTTCATCTCACAGGACCAGGCATTTCCACAATGAAAGACCATTTGCACTCTTTTCGGTCAACTCGCAAAACCACCACCTCACACAACTGCGATCGAAACCTTTCTGCCCTCTCGAATGATTGGGACAGCATGTCAAGCATTGGTCTCCGTTGCACTCGCGCCATGCATTGTCAACCCGACATAAGCCCACATTTACGTGCTGCCTTTTTCTGAGAGCGTTTCCATGTCCTTTCCGGAGTGCAAGTGAATCAGGACGGTAGTCACTGGAAAGAATGCTACTGTATGATCACGTAGGGAGTTGCGTGGATACAAGTATTGATTCTTCGGACATGTCTAGCAAAAGTCCCAGTCGCGGAAGGTGATACTTTCGAGGACCGGAGTTAGTCGATGAGACTCCTTGGCAAAACACGCCACAGGCCGCTTCAGAGTAAACTTCGATCCCGACCGCTCCGATTGAGTTCATCCGAATGGGTGGCCTTTAAACTAAAATAGCATCATTCACATGATCCCCTAAATTCTTACCCCTAACCTCTCACTGCAGCAGGGGGTTACTTATTCATCAGAAATCCAGACTACTAACTACTCTGATCCCTGGACCCCAAGATGTCGCAGCCACTCTGACCCCCCCCCCTTAGACTCCTTGAAGGCTACATCCCAAAAACCCTCCAACGAGAAGCACAGCACACGGCTAGTTTCATGCGGCTTTCAAGAAGCCCAACTCTCTGCGACTGACTGAGATTTCTTGGGACATTTACAAACCCAAACAAACACGAGATACTGCCTGTCTCACACAAGGTACAAAAACTTCAACTTCTGCGGAGTCTGTAAGGGCACAGCCATCGCAAATGTTGAGGCGTAAGTAACATGCAGCTACTCTGCAGCAAAGCATCTCTCATGACGGCTTTGAGATAGGGCATCGCGGACCTTGCAGCGAGCTGGCTTTCGGGTTTGGGCTCGAGTGTTTAGTGGGCAATGATTATGGGGAATATCCCCTCGTAGGCAAGCATTACAAGCAAAATCGCACCCCATGGTAACGAGCATAACCTTAGTAACAATACCAATAACAATCACGGAAACGGCAAATTACGGAAACTGCAAACCCCTGAAAGTTCTCCAAAATTCACAAAACCATCAAACTCTGAGAGCAAGCATCCCAACCAATGCCTGAACCTCCTATTCTGTCCGAAGCGCCGATCAAAACCCAAAACCCCAAAGCCCTCCTGTAGGGCCCCCAAACTCCTCACACAACGCCCACCAAACTCCTCCAAACTCCCTAAACCCTGTAAACCCTAAACCCTAAAACCCCAAAGCCCTAAACCCTAAACTTTCCTAAACCCTAAAACCTCAAACCCTAAATCCCAAACCCTAACTCCCCCAAACTCCAAAAGCCAAAGGAGCAGCTTCTCCCTGGTGAAGTTGCCGCTTGGACCCAAGACCTGGCTGTGAACGTAATGTGGGCGCCTTAAGAATTAGAATATAGCGTGTTTTTTTGGGGGGGAGGGTTTCTTTAAAGGGTTCCTTAAGGGGTTCTACAAGGGCTACCATGAGGATTTAGGGTATAAGGGGCCTTAATGTAAAGGGTTGCTATAAGGGATCTACTGTACCCTGAACCCTAAACTCCCTAATCCCTAAAACCTAGTCATGTAGTCGCCTCGCTTTGGGAGGTCTGCCGGGGCACATCTGCTTGCGGTATACAGTTTAGGGTTTTGAGGTGGGGGCAGCCAAGCTGCAAGTCACCATCATCGTCCCATCGCTGCAATGAGAACAACAAACCCAGCACCAGCATGGACGTCTACTGGCAATCGTCATCATCATCATCATCATCATCATCATCCGTATCCGTGGCAACATCATGGCAAAAATAGTTAAAAAGTGCCCTTCCTCCGGCTAAACCCCCAAATTCGCTGACCTCGTAGATCTCTTCGCGGAGCTTCTGCTGTGCCTCTGCGACGGCACAGCAAGCAGAAGCTGTGGAAGGTGTCTGGGGGCTCTACAGGGTTCCGTTTTTGCTTTGGGCTGCGTGGCACTGGCACTAATTAGGCCAGATTTGCTTGTTACGAAAATGCGAATAATGTGCACCATCGGAGGCACACAGCTGCCTATGAAGCATACAAAGCTTGCAAATATGTACATGGCCTGCCAATGAACAAGTGCACAAACACACTGTCGGGTACATTCTGGGTGATTCTTCTCTACAGAAATCTCCGTGCATGGCGGAAGCCAAATCAGCAAGGTGAAGGGAATTCAATGCCTCTGGATTCTGCGCCAGGTTGATCATAGCCCACATCAGCCTTAGATTGCAACATCTGTGTCTGCCTGCCTGTCTCTGCATTGTTTCTCGCCTATTCGGTCTTCGCAATCGACAAGACAAAGCTTTAGAGTGCCCCAAAGCCCATATGTGTAGGGAGCTGCAATGTCTGTGTGGGGCTCCTTCTTTTATGAAACTGTACTCAACGGCTCGTTGCATGGGACTTCCAGCCAACATGCCCCAAAATCTTAATCCCCTAGTGGAACTTATACTCCAATCTGGCAGTAGTGTAACAATTACGGATACTACTCAGCAAGGTTTCGATTACAATTGTAACATGCAATAATATAGTACAAGTTACTATAGTATAGTACACTATGATATTCTCAATGTACTATACTTCTCAATGTACTATACAGGGTAAAGCATACTATACTATACTATACTATACTATACTATACTATAATATCATAATACAACATAAAACTTTATTGTATAATAAAATATAGCGAAATTATACCCCCGCGCGAACATGCCGTGCCTTCCCTCGTTCCTCACTCGGTATAGGGCTTAGGGTGTTGTATGTCTTCTGCCCTTCGTCTGAAGAGTTTCTTTAGGCTTCTCGTCACTGCACGCGGAAAGCACGAAGGCATGAAGATGCAAGGCAGAAAACTCGATAACTGCCGCCCGGGGTAGATAGCAGGCATCACGATACGAATGATTGATAAGCAGCAGAGCACGAGTCCCCCCCCAAAAAGGCCACACGCAATTCCACATGTGAAGCATAGGCAACGATGCGAGTGAATGTAGCATCGGTACGGTTTAAAACACCTAAACCGAAGCAGCAGACAGACCTGGGCAGCCATCTAGAATCATATCAGGACCAGCAGGACTCGCGGGCCTTCGCCTGATCCTACTTCACCATCGGTTGTTGTTCAGCAATATAGGTTTAGGGTTGGGGTTTAGGGAGATGCATTGGATTTCGGGGTTGTGGGCGCAAATGCCGAAATGTGGTCACCTATGTCGCTCTCTGGCCTTCTGCAACAAAGGATCTTACCTGCCCAGGGTCCTGCCAGGCTTCTCCATGCAAGTAATATGGGGGCCTTAACAATTAGAATAAGGCTTGAGGTATATTATACTATGTTTATCATAAGGAACACC